GTATTTCGATTCCTCTCCTAAAGGAATTTCAAAGCCTCCATTGTACTTTTGAAATTATGCAGATTTGCAAATCGGGCTAGGTTTAAAATTTGGGAATGGATGCTTCTGACATCTTTACTTTTAAGAATCATCAAAAGAGGTATTAACTTTGGTTTTTTTTGGTTTAGGCTAAAGTGTGTTTACCAAATAATGACGAATATGTGGGGTTTTTTTTTACACCGTTCTAAGCAAGTAAAGAATGTGTTTTAGGCTACATAAACGAATTTATTACAAACGAGGTAAATTAATGAATATTTATATATTTATTTTATAATTGCATACATTAATTTAATTATTAATGATTTTACAGATATTTGTTAGTCGTGATGCATTAATAAGATGGACTCGTGAACAAGGGAAAATGAATGGCTTTGTGATTATCATTAAAAGGTCTGATATTGCAAGAGCTGGTAAATTCAAGATCAGTCGGATTATGTTTTGTTGTGAGAGGGGTGTCCAATTCTAGAAGAAAAAAGTTGTGGAATCAGATAGCAAGACAATACATAAGCTTGATCAAAGTTCAAACCCTCCGAAGAAAAAAAGTGTGAAGTCTATTGGTACAAAGAAGTGTGATTATTATTTTCATTTTCATTATACCATTGGCAGTTCTTGTTCTGTAACATAAGTATAATAATTATGATGGTTTTTTGCTCCTTAGGCTTCTTCCAGCAGAAAAAATGTTATGAGAGAATTTGTGTCGAACACACAGTACAATAGGGTGTGCCTGTGTGTTGCAAACTCAGCTTGACTTTATTGATGATGAATCAAATACAACACATACGCATGAAAGGCCCCAAAGACCTTTTGTATTTTTCTTTTTCACGCCATATGATATGAGGTTTTTCCTCCTCATCATCTTGAGTGTTTTTTTGTCTTCCCTCTAACATTAAAAAAATTTAAGAGAGAAAAAAAAGTGTGTTGTTAAAGCTGTCAAAGATTTATGAACACTATTTTAAAAAAAGTTAAAGTTGAGAGTCAACTGTAAAGTAATGTTATAAGTATTAGGGTGTACTAGGGGTATTTTTGGTAGTTTCATAGGGTGTACTTAGTTAATTTTACATTTTAATTAAAATATTAAGGTGTTCTTAGATCATAGGGTGTACTCAGTTAATTTTAGGGTTCGTTTAGTAGCACTCTTCTTTTTTCACGTTTATAATAGTGCCATGTTTTGTTTTGCTGTGATAACCTTGTTCAGCTCAAGAATTGGAGAAAGATGTGTAAGTCTGAATAGATATAACATGTAAAACACTAACCTGTATCAGACATGTTGAACAAGATGAAGATCAAAACTGAACTTGAGAAAACAGAGACTTTCTCCTAGAAGCCGAGAACTCTTGCAGCAATAATTCTAATGGGGTGAATATCTGTATGCTTGGGTTTTGTGTGTGTCTCGGCTCTAGAAGGAGCCTCCTATTTATATGCATATCTCTAGGAGTTTTGCCCATCAAGAACCTCCTAGAGATAACCTTAATGCTTATAGGATTAGGTAATCTTAATCCTTATCAAAGTAGGAATCCTTAAGCCTGTGTATATCTAGAACACTTATCTTAGGCTGCCATATCTGATAGGAATAGATTTTCTGATAAACCATGAGTTCTTAGGAAACCTTATTCGATTAGAAGATCACTTCTGTGGTTTAAGACAGTAAACCATCTTACATTCTCCCACTTGATCAAATAATCGATCTAAGCTCATTGTCATCACTTAATGGCCATGTGAAAATCTACTCTTATCTTTATTCCTTTATCAAGCCACTGTCATGATTGATAGTTCACAAGGGACTGTCGAAGCTCCTTAGATATATAACATCTAAGACTTTTACAACCACACATATGAACTAGCAAAAACACATAAGGCGCTTTAGTCTATTTGTCATTTAACGAAACAGTATATGCAAGTAATAGAAAACTTCAAAACATTAACATAACTGAATCAAAAACTGTCTAGATAAACTAGTTAACAAAACCAAAATAAAACTGTAATCACTTTAACTCCCACTGACTCCCACTGACCTTAAGCATCAAAACTTATCAGCAACCCCATACTTGCAACGTGCCTATGAAAAACATGATTAGGCAAGCCTTTGTTTAAGGGATCTGCTATCATCAATTCTGTTCCTATATGATTTAAAGCAGTCTCACCATCTCGAATCTTTTCCTTGGCTGATAAGAACTTTAAATGTAGATGCCTCATACCAGATGACCTTTTATTCCCATTTGCAAAGTATACTGCTGCACTGTTATCATTCCACAATTGAATAGGTCTCTGTATTGATTCCACTATATTTAGCATTGACATAAAATTCTTGAGCCATATTGCCATGGAAGTGGCCTCATAAACTGCTAAGAACTCAGCTTGCATTGTAGAGGTTGAAACATATTGTTGTTTTACACTCTTCCATGCGACTGCACCTCCTGCAAAAAGAAAAACAACACCTGATGTGCATTTCTGAGTATCCAAGCAGCCTGCAAAGTCAGCATCTGCGTAACCTTCTAGTTTCAATTCTTCAACTCTTCTATAAATCAGTTTATACTCCTTAGTCCTCTGTAGGTACCTTAACACCTTTTTCCCTGCAACCCAATGTGCCTGGCCTGGATTGGACTGAAATCTGCCAAGAACACTGATACAAAATGCAAGGTCAGGTCGAGTACAAACCTGAGCATACATGAGGCTTCCTACCAATGAGGCATAAGGCTTGTCCTGCATCTCTGTCTTTTCTTGTTCAGTCTTGGGAGACTGTTCAGTGCTAAGCTTGTCACCCTTTGAGAATGGAACATCACAACCCGTGCAATTTTCCATATTAAACCTCTTAAGTATCTTCTCAATATAAGCCTTCTGAGATAAACCTATCAACTTTCTGTCTCTATCTCTGCTAATTTCGATTCCCAGTACATAGTTGGCTTCTCCTAGATCACTCATATCAAAATGAGTAGACAACATTCTCTTGGTGTCATGTAACAGGGACAAATTACTGCTGGCTAAGAGAATGTCATCTACATATAAGAGTAGAATAATAAAATCCTTTCCATAGAACCTCATGTAAATGCATTCATCCACTGGATTGTCAATGAAACCTTGAGATTTTATTACCTCATCAAATTTAAGATACCATTGTTTTGATGCTTGTTTTAAACCATAAATTGATTTTTGCAGTCTGCATACTAAATTCTCTCCCCCTTTTAAGATAAAACCATCCGGTTGTTTCATGTAGATCTCTTCAACCAGATTTCCATTTAGAAAGGCTGTCTTGACATCCATTTGATGCAAGTGCAGATCAAAGTGTGCAACCAAGGCCATGATGACTCTGAATGAGTCTTTTGTTGACACAGGAGAAAAAGTTTCATTATAATCCACTCCTTCTTGTTGTGTGAACCCTTTTGCCACTAATCTGGCTTTGTATCTGTCTATTTTCCCTTGTGCATTCCTCTTGGTTTTGTAGACCCACTTGCAGCCAATAGGTTTAGAACCTGGTGGTAATTCAACTAAACTCCATACACCATTCTTGCTCATCGATTCAAGTTCAGACTCCATGGCTGCAAACCAATGTTGATTTTCCTCACTTTCCATAGCTTGTTTATAAGTGGCAGGATCTTCTATGGTGTTGATGTCAAACTCAGACTCTTGCAAATAGACAAAATAGTCATTTGGTAGAGCTGGTCTTCTAGTTCTTTGGGATCTCCTTAACTCCATGGTCTGATGCTGTTCTGGCAGATTTAATTGCATTTCAACTTCTGCATTTTGTTGTGTTTCAACTTCTAGATTTTGATGAATATTTATGTCTTCATGTGCAGGAGAGTTTTCTTTATTCAAGTTGTCGAAATTCAATATAGTCACTTCCTTTTCTCTATTTCCAGCTTCTGCAATTTCTTTGCTTTCTATAATTTCTTCAAACTCAAAATCTGCTGTATCTGTTTCTTCCTTTTCTTCTTCAATGAAAACAGCCCTTTGTGTCTCTACAAATCTGGTGTTGTGATTAGGACAATAAAATCTGTAGCCTTTTGTCCTATCTGGATATCCCACAAAATAACAACTAATTGTCTTTGAGTCAAGCTTCTTTTGCATTGGGTTGTATATTTTTGCTTCTGCTCTACATCCCCAAGTTCTCAAGTGATTGAAACTTGGTTTTCTATTGCACCAAATTTCAAAGGGGGTTCTGTCAACAATTTTAGTAGGTGATCTATTAAGCAAGTAATTTGCTGTCTTCAAAGCTTCTCCCCATAAAAAATTTGGTAGTGTTGTGCAACACATCATGCTTCTCACCATCTCTATCAAAGTTCTATTTCTTCTCTTTGAAACACCATTTTGCTGTGGTGTTCCAGGATTCGTGTACTGAGCCACAACACCTTCTTGTTGCAAGAAAATGGCAAAAGGTCCTGGATTTCTTCCTTTTTCAGTGAATTTTCCATAAAACTCTCCACCTCTATCAGACCTCACTACCTTGATTTTCGAATCTAGTTGGTTCTCAACCTCTGCTTTGTAAATTTAAACATGTCCAACGCCTTCGATTTTTCTGCTATTAGATACACATAACCATATCTGGAAAAATCATCAGTAAAGGTGATAAAATATCTGTAGCCATCATGAGTGTTGACTGGAAAAGGGCCACAGATATCAGTGTGTATCAACTCAAGTAATTTTTCACTTCTTACAGCTCCTTTCTTTCTGAGGTTTGTCATCTTCCCTTTTGCACATTCAATACATGTTTTATCCCTTTCATGGTGGTCAAGTGGTGGCAACATAGATTCCTTGCTTAAGATACTTATTCTTTCTTTTGAGATATGTCCTAGTCTCTTGTGCCAAAGAGTATATGATTCTGAATTGCTCAACTGTTTTGTGCTTATTACATTTAACATTTCAGTGCCTTGTTTTGGTAGTTTGCAATTCAAACGAAACATTCCATCAACAATCATGCCATTACCAACAACTCTTTTATTTCTTGAAATGGAGAAACCAAAAACATCAAACTCAAATTGTAAGTTTGATTTTACAAGCCTACTAACTGATAAAAGGTTCCTTGTCATAGTAGGAACATAAACGACATCAACTAATTCCAAACAAAAACCAGATTGCAACTCTAGATTAACTAAACCAATAAAATCTACTTTAACTCTTTCTCCATTTCCCACGAACACCTTCAAGTCATCCTTGTTTGGCACTCTCTTTGTTTTGAACCCCTGCAAGGAATTTGTTACATGAACTGTTGCACCACTATCTAACTACCATGTATTGGATAAAATTTCAAGTGAATTTGATTCATAAACCACAGAAACTGAGTTTTTCTTACCTTTAGCCTTTTGCTTGTCCAACCAACGTTTGTACCTTCTACAATCCCTCTTCATGTGACCAAACTTTTTGCAGAAAAAACATTTCAGACCTACTGGACCTGTCCCTTTGGTAGTTTCATCCTTTTCTGTTTCTTGTCTGCATATTTGGATTTATATCCTTCCTTTGGCTTGCCTTTAAAATCCTGCACCAGATTCACATGTTCCTTTGCATTATCAATTCTAATGCTTTGCTCTTCCTGCACACATATTCCTATTAGATCAGCCACTGTCCATGTTTCCTTTTGAGCAATGTAAGTAGTTTTCAAATGCCTATAAACGCTAGGAAGAGAGTTAAGAGCAAAGTGCACCATCATGGCTTCATCTACTGTAACTTTCAGAGCTTTCAATTTGTTTCCAATGTCTACCATGTTCAGAATATGAGTCCTTATGCATCCTTCTCCATTATACTTCAAATCTGTGAGTTTGCTCATTAGTGTACCTATCTCAGCCTTTTTGGAGCCTTGGAAATTCTCTGCTATTGCCTCAATAAATGTCTTTGCATTTTCAGACTCTGTGATGCTGCCCCTTACCTCCTCTGAAATTGATCTCCTCATGATTAAGATTGCCATTTTGTTAGCCTTAGTCCATTTTGCAAACTTGGTCCTAGTTTCGACAGATGCATCAGCTGCTGGTGTGGCTGGTGCTTCCTCAGTTAGAACCATTTCATAGTCCAATAAGCCAAGAGCTATTTCTAGATCTTCTCTCCATTTCTTGTAGTTGGAGCCAGTGAGGGTCTGGATTGAATTGTGATTGACTGTACAGGTTTTAAAACATTAATACCTTAAATAATTTCCCCAAAACTTTAGTTTAAACATACTTAACTCACATCTTTGGATAGAAAGTGTAAGTACGTCCATTGACACTGAAATACAAACAGTTATATAATTCCTTGAACAAAAGCTGTCCACATCTTTGGATAGAGGAGAACTTCTGCTATTTTATAACTGTGCATATTCCATGTCGATCCATCACAGTCAAAGCTATATCAAAATGCTCCCATCTTTGGACGGAGAGCCTTTCAATAAGTTCTGAACTGTGATGCCAATTTGGATCAATGTCTTTGAATGCAATTATCATGGAATGATTGAGCCGCTTTAGCTTGCTCAATTATCCCATGGCAACTGCAAACTTGATCAAAAACTGTCAAGAACTTGATAAAGTCAATTCTTTATACTGTTATCATGTTCTTGTCTATATAACTTGCAGCTTTCAGTTTAAAAATTTTCATAGATTTCCTGTATCAGACATGGTTAGGTAAAACATGATATAACTATAGCTCTGATACCACAGATTCCAATGACCAAAAGCTTCACATAGCAATAGGGGTGGGCACTCAAACCGGCAAACCGGAAATTCAAGCCGAACCGCATCGAACCAAACCAGAAAAAAACCGAGTTGACCAAAAAGTAAACAACCGGTCAAAAATTGAACCGGACCAATTTGGACCGGTTTTGGATCCGGTTTCATATCTTCAAAAACCGGATCGGGCCGAACCAAACCGGTCAAATTAAAAAATATATAATTTAAATATTTATTTATATTTAATGCTATATTTTTAATCTAATAACTAATATTTATTCAAGTTCAATTTCAAAATATCTCTCTTTTCTAACTTTAATGTTCCATGGCTATCCTTTGGCCACATGATCCCATACCTAGACCTGGCCAAGCTCATTGCCCAAAAAGGCCACCAAACCTCCTTCATCTCCACTCCAAGAAACATCGAACGTCTCCCATAGCTCCCTCTGAATCTCTCGTCTCTAATCACCTTTCTCAAGCTCCTGTTTCCTCGCGTAGACGACGACCTTCCTGAAGCCGTGGAAGCCACCACAGACATACCACATAACAAAGTCATGAACTTTTTATTTGAAAAATGAGTTATCTTTTGTAATAATTGATATATACACTAAAAGGGATAAATTTAATAACACTAAAAATTGTACCATTGCAATATTCTCAAAGAGATCTTTAAAAAGAAACCAATTTTTAATATATATATTTTTTTAAAAATTGATGTATTTTTTTATATTGCATTGAACTATTGAACAACCATTGCGGATGCATCTATTGCAATGAACTAAATCACACTATTGCAAGTGAGACTTTACTGTTTGAATTCAATTTCATGCAATAAAATTGCATTAATCCTAATCATTGCATATGCTCTTAATCATTTGCTTACCACATACTTTAACTCCTTTTTCTTGGCAAAAGTGTTATTTATTTATTAGCTGAAGGGTTGTCGTTTTTGGCCGACAAATATTAATTCTCCACACTAGTCTGAGGTGATTTGATTTTGAATAAAGTTCACACCTTTGATAATTTTATTTTAAAGCAAAAAGCTTGCTAAATTGTTGAAATTATAATCCTTTTGGCCCCGTTTGGTGGGCTGGACTGGATGAGACTTTTTCAATTAAAATGGACATGGGTCTAGTCTTTCCACCAGTCTTTTGTTTGGTGGGCTTAATTGTATCACACACTGGCTAGGACTTAAATTTTTATTTAGGTTATGAATCCAGCACACGCTGGATATCAAAACCCACGTCGAGACATGGTTTCAAAGACTACCTCGCTTCGTTTCATCTCCTCCACGTCCTCTCCTCAGAGTCGTCTCCTCAGCGTCGTCTCACTCAGCCACTTCGAGTCGTCTCTGCTCTCTTTCCTCTCCTCTCTCCTCTCTCATCTCTCATCTCTCATCTCTCATCTCTTCTCTCTTCTGATTTTTCTTTTTGAAAAACTGATTTCTCTATTTGTTATCCATATTTTTCTGGGTTAGATATTGAGTGCTGTAGTTTTTTGGGTTTGATTTCTTTTGATACCTTTCATTGAAGATCTTTCAGATCTGTTCCCATCCAGAATTTGCATAATTTTTTTTTGAATGTTGTTTTTAGTTTGTATTTTCTATGATCTGAAAGTTATACCATAGATTTTTTTTCTTTTGTTTCAAATTACCATTTTGGTTTTGGTCTACAATCTTTTCTCTTGTATAATAATAAAGATAGATTTTCTTATACTGAATGATCTGCTTAGTAAAAAATATGAATTTTGGGGGTTTACTATTTTGATATTGCTCCAGCTAGTGTGGGTTGATTCCTTTATGCTGGATGATCTGCTTGGTATTAGTAGAGCTCGTCTTGCTGGATGATCTGTTGTTGGGGTTTACCGCTTGTTCTTGCCAAAAAGAAAAGATGAAGTTTATCTGATGAAGAGAAATTTTAGATTAGAAAAAAAACAAAAAAAGATACTGAAAGAAGAGGAAAAAAGATTTTGAAGAAAAAAAAAGTAAGGCATTGATGCAAAAACAGGAATTTTGCATTTGATTGTTGTTAATCTATATATATAAAGCAAAAGGCAGAGAATAGTGAAACATTCAAAATACCATAAAATGCCCTTGATTAATGCAAACATTTAGAATTGAAATTATGGCTTATTATCACAAAAGGTCCCTAAAGTTTACGAAACTATCAGATTGCATCCTTAATGGTTTTTTGTGTCATTGGTGGTCCTCAAGGTTAGCATGTGTAATCACAAATGGTCCCTGCAGTTAGGTTCCGTAAAAAACTCCGTTAGTTTGCTGATGTGGCATATATATATATATCACAAAACATCCCTGAGGTTTACACATCTATCACAAATGGTCCCTGCAATTTTTTTTAATTTTTTTCATTTAAAATTCATAAAATTTTGGTTTTCTTTTTTAAATCTTATGAATTTTAAATTATTTTAAAATATACATTGTATTTTAAATACACATGACACTATATTATTTTAGATGTGGGTTCCACATATATGCCACATCAACAAACTAATGGAGTTTTTAAAAATTAATTTAAAATTCATAAAATTTAAAAATGAAAAAAATCAAGGGTTTAGGGTTTATAAATGGTCCTCAAGGTTAAAATCCTTATATAAATGGTTTTTTCATTTTTAAATCTATATATATAAAGCAAAAGGCAGAGAATGGTGAAACATTCAAAATACCATAAAATGCCCTTGGTTAATGCAAACATTTAGAATTAAAATTATTAATTAAATGAGGATAATATGGTAAATTCACACTTTTTCATATTTAAAAATTTTAAAATTAAAAGAAAAATCAGATAATAGCCTATTTTAATGGAACACAACTGTTGTGTAGATTTCAGCTGCACCAAAATGGATTAAGCTGCATCCTCAACTTGTGATACTCGCAAGTGCACGAACCGTTGGTAGTTT